GGAGAGGGAGAGGGAGAGGGAGAGAGAGAGGGAGAGGGAGAGGGAGAGGGAGAGGGAGAGGGAGAGAGAGAGAGAGAGAGAGAGAGAGAAGGGGGAGTATAATGTAATGGAGTACTATAATTAAAATCTCAGACATACAATGTACATGTAAATAAATAGTGGGGAAAAAGAAAAAAGAGAGACAGGAGCGAGGGGGGAGAGAAAGGGAGACAGGGGGAGAGATACAACAAAAAGGAACAATATTTAAATGATACAATACCAGTATGAGAAGCGGCAAAGGATAAAGAGAATGACTAGTGTAGGAGAGGGTAAAACATTACAAGATTTAAACGTAACAGCTGCATAGAAGAGAGAGACACCACTCCATAGTGTACTATCAGAACATATGGCTTACTTCTACAGTATAATCATTATTAGTACTTTTTATGAGGAAATAATTAACCATCAGTTGTGTAATAATGAAATAAGACACCTTTATAATGAGGACATTTTGTAATGTCCCAATTGGTACAAGCCTATACAAAAGTACCTCTGAAATAAGGACACCTCTGTATTAAGGACAGGGCCTTATAATAAAGAGGATACAGGTACACATGTACATGTACAGCATGTTATGTGTGTGCATGTACATGTAGATGTAGCTGTCTCTTGTGGATGTGTGTCTTATCCAGTCATTATATTATAATTTTATGGTTTTTGTCTTTAATTGGATTAACTGCCACAATTTGTACTGGCCATATAACAGGATTAGGAGAGGCTATTAAGGAACTGACTCAGACACCATAAAATAATGGTAAGGGAGAGAGAGGGAGGGAGAGAGGGGAAGTGGTAGAGCATAGCAGATATTGAATAACATGAGAACAACAAAGAGAGTAGGTGCCATTAGTGATCCAATCAGTAAATTAATATCTAAACTCACTGACAGTAGTTGGACAAAGATATGACAACATTAAATAAAACAAAGTAACAAAATACAATAATGTTATATAAAGGTGACACATGACCATCAGGTCTAATTAAATTAGTTATTATTATCTTAATACAATGCCATCAGTCCTAATGTGTACATAACTGGAAACCCACAAACTGTACATAATGTAAACAAGCTAATAATGTAATACAGACTAGCCTCTATATAATGGACACTTTGAAAGTGTCTCTGTTATACAGAGGTGTCCTTTATGTGGAGGTTATTTTATACAGTAAGGAATCTAATTGGTACACTAGGTGCTGTCCGTTAAATGGAAATGTACGCTATAGAGAGTGTCCATTAAGAGAGACTATACTGTACATGTAGAGTGTATATTATAAAATACAATCTTTCTTACTCATTCACTGTTGATGGACTATCGTCTCTAACAGCTGATTGTGGTAGTTCAATACCATACCTCTTCCTCCTACATTATAAACAAAGAGTGAGAGGGAGGGAGGGAGAGAGGGAGGGAGGGAGAGAGGGAGAGAGAGAGAGAGAGTGTGTGTGTATAATGTACATGTGTACATTATACACATGTACTGGTACATATAATGATTAATAATAGGATATGGTCTTTATTGATTTGTTTATTATTGATGTACTTGTACTTGGGATATACTAACATTATTATAACATTTTCTTCATTTCTTAACAATTAATAACTATTAACATTCATGTACGTGTACATTTAATTTAGCATTTTGAAGATCCTCACATTCAAAAATGAAATAAAATAAAGCTGGAGAAAGCAACTTTTATTCTTATCTTCAGTTAATAAAACAATTTCCCCATTACCTGATCATAGTAGAGTCCAGTATTGTGGTCATAGTAATAACCAGTTCTTTCATCAAAGAAGTACCCACAAGATTAGGTAGCATGGTCTGATGCAGCTGCTAACTGAGAGGATATATCACCAGTCAAACCAACTGGAAGAGGAGGGAGAGGGGCTTCAGGATTATTGGCTGGAGACTCATTCTCTTGTATAGGAGGGTTAGGATCTGAAATCAGTAAACTTCAGTAAAATTCAGTATACTGTAATGTAAGTGTGTAGGCACTGTCTTGGATATTGTTAGTATTCTTCTGTTCACTTGATGTAAAGTGAATTAGAAATTGACCAGAAATCTAATAAATAAATATTATTATTACTTTTTAATACATTTCCTGATACATATACATGTACTTATGCTGTGTATGAAGTTTGAGCTGATTACAATTAAAATTGGATTTTTTAATGAATTTTAAAAGTTGCTCCAAAATCGAACAAAATTCAACTTTGTCCAATGAAGGAATTATTAATTAGTGCTGGGTGATATTGAAAATTTTGAAATGATACGATATTGCCTAAAAATGAAGATATCGATATTTTTTATAGATAAGTTATCAAGCCACACCTATTAACTTTAATATTACTAAAACTGCTAAATAAAGCTATTTCTGAGAACAATTATTATTTAAAAGCATTATAAAACCTTCTTTGGCTTGATATACTTCAGCTACTTCATCTGCTTTCTAAGAAAAAAACGTTTTAGTAATTTCCAAGATGTTACTCCTATAGTTAATTAACCATTTATTAAGCTTATGTAACCATTTTGTGGGCATGGTCTTGTTATCGATACTTCCTTCAAATTTTTTCGATATTAATAAGCATCGATACCACATTATATCGATTAAATATCGTGAGTTTTGATATATCGCCCAGCACTATTATTAATTCTCTCTCGCTGATTCATAGTAGGATCCTGACTGATAATGATAATAGAGGACACTATTAGTAACTCTAACATATCCTCCTTCCCTCACCCAGTCCGGTTCAGTATCAGTACCTGTAGAATGAGAAAGAAACACATTAAAAAGAGATAGAGCCAATGGAATACCTAACAACATGCACCAGCTTCAATTGAATAATAATGATCCCATTAACCGTTTCTAGTAGCTTCATTCTTCTCTCTCCTTCTCCTTCCAATTCTCCTTCCTCCAGGTTCTGGGACTCCATTCTCTTCAGTTCTGCTTGTAGCACTCTTATCTTCTCTCTTATCAAGGCTGCATTTTCTAAAGGATTATTTTTGTCCTCTCCACTGGACGCCATTTTAAATAATTACAAGAGTAAAGAGTTAAAAATTCCTCCCAACCCAAAACACGCCCACTTACTAAATTCTCAAATAAAATTAAATAATTCTCAAACCTAATCTTACATGCATGTATCAATTTCAAAAGGTGTCAGTGAACAAACAAATTCTAATTAGCTAATTGATTATGCATAACAACCAAAGTACCTATTATTAATACTTCCTAAGTGTTGAGTCCAACTAATGAATAATCACTATTGGTAGTGGCTTGTGTGATTTAATCATATAATCTATTAATCTTCAAGAGTGTCCTTCAGGAGAGGAGGAGTGTCCAGTATTAATCTCAATACGTTCAAGTGATGGATGGATGAAGATAGTTTCATATAAATGTTGTATAGTTCTATCCAGTTAGGTTGAGATGACTCTTCATTCTACACTCTATCCTCACAGTAGTCTGATGGTTGTATGTGACTGTAAAGGCCTCCATCAGGGGCGTATCTAAGGGTGGGCCTGGGTGGGCCTGTGCCCGACCAACTCAGCAGTCCAAAAAATTTTTTCTTTTGTATATTAGTCCTTTTAAAAATATTGCTCACTTTATTATGATAGCAATGAGACAAGACTAGCATAGCTAATAGTTTTAGCCAGTGTAAATATAATGATGACATGGTAGAGACTTCCATAGTTCCATTTGGGCAATTGGGCTGCCATTTTTTAAATAATAACTACTACTAACCAATCAGTTATTAGACTATTCACATTAATTATTAAAGTAATCGAGTTGAAAATGGCTAAGAAACTCTGCTGAGTCTGTTTGAATGTCTTCCCAAGGCCAGTACTACTACTAATGAAGAAAATATAAGCACTGAAGTGCACATCTTAGCTTAATTAAAGTAATAATCGTAGTATTTAATTGACCACGCCCATCATGAATATTAATTAGCTCTGAAAATTTTTCGCGGCGCGCTTCGCGCGCCGCATATTTTTCCTCCGTGCCCACCCAACTCTCAGAGCTTAGATACGCCCCTGGCCTCCATACACTAGGCAACATGTTGCTGGCAACGCGGTCTGTGGTTACTTTTG